TTTCACTGTCAGAAAATTTCTCCTTATTTCTAGGTTGGATCTCTCTTTAACAAGTTTCCACTCATTACTTCTTGTCCTGCCCTCAGGTACTTTGGAGCAGCTTTGCTGCTGAGGAACTTTGCTGGCTGAGGAACTCTGGGAGTTGAAGTCCACAAGTCTTAAAGTTGCCAAGGTTGGAGACCCCTGCTTTGGAGAATAGGTTGATACTCTCTTCTCTGTGACAGCCCCTCAAGTATTGGAAGACAGTTATCACATTCCCCATTAATCCTTCTCTTTATTAGGACAGACATACCTACTGTATTTTTCGGAGTATAAGATGCACTTCCCCCTCCCCAAAAGAGGGTGGAAATTTGGGTGCGTCTTATACACCAAACGTAGCCCCACCCACCCGCCGGCCCCCACTCTTTGGCCTCCACATGTCCTCTCATGGAGGAGCTTTTAGAGCTTTTGGAGGCTGCAAATGCAGCTTCTCAAATGGAGAGCCGCTCAAGCAGAATTTTTTTTCTTATTTTCCTCCCCCCAAAATAAGGTGTGTCTTATATTCTGGAGCGTCTTATACTCCGAAAAATACGGTAGCTCCCTCAATCCTTCATCATATGATTTAGCCTCCAGACCCTTTATGATCTTTGTTGCTCTTCTTTGCATATTTTCTGGAGTCTCTGCATCTTTTTTTTAGTATCGTGGTAATCAGAGCTGTACACAATACAGTACTCCAAGTGTGGCCTCACTAATGTGGTACAAAGCAGTATTATCATTTTTTATGCTCTCGATGTAAAATAGGCAAGCTTTATAACTTTACAACTCAATTGGTGGTACCTGGCTCAACAGTAGCAACTGGGAAAGGGATCTAGGTATCCTAGTGGGCCACCACTTAAATATGAGCCAGCAGTGTGCTGCAGCTGCCAAAAAAACCAATGCAGTCATAGGCTGCATCAACAGAAGGATAGTGTCAAGACAATGAATAATTCTCATCCCGGGGAGTTGAGAAGCTGTCCCATCTGTTGTGATGGCTCCTTGATTTGCTCACACTAACATCTAAAAATACTGGCATTCAGATCTCCCCGCTCACTCTATTTTTCTCTCTCACTTCTTAACTGATGCAGGCATACTGACCAGTGTGCCTTCCTGTGTACACAGTTTCCTGCAGGCGCTAGTAAATCTCAGCACACATAATTTAAAACAAACACTGCATAAGAGCTTGTAAAATAACAATACACAGCAGCTTTAAATTTCCCAGGTGTCAAATGGAGTCAGTTGGCCTGGCAGAGCTCCAGCGCAGACCTATGAGCTGCTTAAAATTGTATGTGTGATGTGTGTGTGTGTGTCTATACCAGTGTTTTTCAACATCAGCAACTTTAAAATATGTGGCCTACAGCTTCCAGATTTCCCCAGACAAAACAGGGGAGTTGAAGTCCATGCTTCTTAAAGTTGCTGAGGTTGAGGAACACTAGTTGATACAGACATTCAGCTATGATCTGCATATGATGATGATGATGATGATGATGATGACGACAAGGAAGAGGATGGTGATGATGATGATGATGTTATCTATTCTATTGACTCTGACTCTTGGCAATTCTGTGGGCCAGGTGTCTCCACACCTTCCGATCTTGCACTACTTCTTTTAGAATAGAATAGAATAGAATAGAATAGAATAGAATAGAATAGAATAGAGTAGAGTAGAGTAGAGTAGAGTAGAGTAGAGTAGAGTAGAGTAGAGTAGAGTAGAGTAGAACAGAACAGAACAGAACAGAACAGAATAGAATAGGATTCCTTATTGGCCAAGTGTGATTGGACACACAAGGAATTTGTCTTTGGTGCATATGCTCTCAGTGTACATAAAAGAAAAGATACACTCATCAAGAATCAAAAGCCACAACACTTTTGAGTTGTTCTATGCTCTGGCTGGTGTCAGCTTTAATGGTGTCCATCCGTTGTGTTCTTTGATGGCCTGGTTCCATTTACCGCTAACTTTTCCAAACATAATTGATCTCTCCAGCGAATTTCCCCACATGATGTAGCCAAAATAAGAAAGACACAATTTTGTGATTATTCCTTCCAGTAACATGTCTGAAGTTATGCACTACAGTCATTGTTTGTTGGTCACCTTTGCTGTCCAAGGAATAGGCACCACAGCTCAAACGAGTTGATTTTCTTCCTGTCTTACTTTTTAAAAGATCTGTACATATAGAATAGAATTCAGTTCTTTATTGGCCAAGTGTGATTGGACACACAAGGAATTTGTCTTGGTGCATACGCTCTCAGTGTACATAAAAGAAAAGATACGTTCATCAAGAATCATAAGATACAACACTTAATGATAGTCATAGAGTACAAATAAGCAATCAAATCATATTAGGAAACAGTCAATATAAATCGTAAGGATCCAAGCAACAAAGTTATAGTCATTCAGTCATAAGTGGAAGGAGATGGGTGGTGGGAATGATGAGAAGATTAATAATCTTAGTAAATAGTTTGACAGTGTTGAGGGAATTATTTGTTTAGCAGAGTGATGGCGTTCGGGAAAAAACTGTCCTTGTGTCTAGTTGATCTGGTGTGCAGTGCTCTATAGTATCATTTTGAGGCTGGGAGTTGAAACAGTTTATGTCCAGGGTGTGAGGGGTCTGTAAATATTTTCACAGCCCTTTTTTTGACTGGTGCAGTATACAGGTCCTCAATGGAAGGCAGGTTGGTAGCAATTGTTTTTTCTGCAGTTCTAATTATCCTCTGAAGTCTGTGTCTGGCTTGTTGGGTTGCAGAACCAAACTAGGCAGTTATAGAGGTGCAGATGACAGGCTCAATAATTCCTCTGTAGAACTGACATATGCAGACATACGTGCATTCCTTTTCTGGATATGAAATGGAAGGTACAAATGATGTGTCTCAGGGGATGTAAAGAAAAACACTTAGAAGAAGTCAAAAATTTAGGGTCCAAATCCAATTGGAGTGACACTGAGCTCTGATTATTGCAAAAATGAGTCTATGCCTAATGCACATTAACGAAAAGTTGATAGCAAAGGTGACTGGGTTATCATCTTCATTCCTGGGAAGCAATGACTTCTATAATAAGACACAGCAGGATGACACCATTCACACAAATCTAGAACTGTGCAATGTTTGATACTCAGTTCCTATGAAGCTACCCTGGGAATAGGTTGAAAGCATACCTAAAATCTGGACCTCTACCCTCACCCTCAAGAGGTTGTGATCTTCCCACTGTCAACTTGCAAAGCTTTCAAGTTGCCATGAGCAGGAGGGAGGGAGAACTGAAGTAAATTCCATACATTCTTCCTGACCGCAATCAGAAGGAGGGTGTTAGGTTTCACAGCCAGCCAAAGTGGTTAATTGGAGAATGGGATTTATGACATGGCCAGAGAGGAGGGGAGAGGTAGGGTCATAGGGGAACGTAAATCTACGTGGGATCAGTCCTAACTGCATTCGAGTATTGCCGGAATGTTGCTCCTAATAAATGACTGTATTTCCTTTGAAGTTTGGATCATGGCTCATGAATTAATTAGGGCATCTTTCGGAAACTTGACACCCACTTCCATCTAAGTGGGTGAAGGAACCTGATTGGTCTTTCAAAACATTTGAGGGCAGACTATTTCAGACTAAACGAATACAGTAATAAAACTGATTTTTCAAGAGACATAAATGCTAAAGTGCTGGCAATTTTCAGATATGTGTTATTGGAGCAAACCGTTATAAAGACGGGCACGTTATTAGGAAGAAATGCTTGTCATTAAGTGAAAAGCCCTGTGTTATAACTTGCATCGTATTATAGCTTTCACCCAAACTGGATGGGTGAAGGGAATCTGTGAAGGGCAGAAAATGCCATAGGCTTGAAGACTAGAAACTTGAAGTTGATCAGAAAATGGATGATGTAAAGCAGAGGTGTCAAATTCAAGGCCCAGAGGCCGGGTACGGCCTGTGGATAGTTAGATCTGGCCCACGGGGCTGCCCTGGAAACAGTGAAGGACCGGCCCATGGTGTTTCTGTCAGCAAAAACAGGCTCCCCAGCTCCATTTTTGACTGCCAGGACCTCCTGTAACCTTCTGCCAGTGAAAATGGAGTTTGGGAGGGCTGCTCCATTTTCACTGGCAGAGGGTTGCAGGAGGTCCTGGCAGCCAAAAATGGAGTTGGAGAGCCTGTTTTCACTGGCAGAGCACTTGGGCCACTCCAGGTGCCATGACATGAGTGATGTTGAGCTGGCCATGCTCCTCCTGGCCACGCCCACCCTGGCTCCCCGAGGTCAAACACAACCCTGATGCGGCCCTCAATGAAATTGAGTTTGACACCCCTGATGTAAAGGAATTTCATTTATATTGGCCCAAACTGTCAAATTAATTTTCCCCCTCCCCTTCTTTATAGTAAATATGCATGCTGTTCATTAAAAGAACTGCAATTACTCTAATGGCCATGCATTACAGGGAGACGAACTGCTTAATTTTCGTCTTCCAATTTAAATGTAATTAGAAGCTTCTTCATGATTACAACCCTAGTTTGTCTAGGGTTCTGCTTGTGTGTGTGTGTGTGTGTGTGTGTGTGTGTGTGTGTTGAACCAGCACTTGCCAAAATGGATGTGTGAGTTGTTTAATTTATCCATCTTTTCGATAATTAAGATGCAATCAAGGGACCTTCAATCTTACTATCAAATACTTGTGTGGAGTCAGAGGTTCAGTAGTGAAAATGCTAAAAGCTGTGAAGATATTTGGGGACTCATCATTATGACTCATAGTCATAATTTGCAAAATCTGCTATGATCGGCTACGGTTTACCCTGCGATGAGAAATCATCATCCTGGTTCAGGGGCCAGGAATCCACATTTCAGCAGATGGTGGTCACCTGCAGGAAAGCCAAAGGTGACATCAGCACTACAGCATTGTGATGAGAGTCTACATCATCTATACATGTGTTATGACATCACATGCATGCCTCAAAGGGGTGGAGCTTGCAATGTGACATTTCAACACTACTTTCAACATCCAGCAGGGTATGTTACGGGTCCCATCGATTAGGGATGTAATCTGATGGCTGGGACCACAAAAAAGGGCCTTCTTCTGTGGTGGCCACTTCTCTATGGAACATCATTCCCCCTGCAATATGATTTGTTGCAGGATCCAATTTGGGTCCATCACTGGGACCAGAGGTTTAGCTTTCAAATTCTTAAATAAATAAAATACAGAAGAGGAGAAAGAGGAGCCATGTTATGAAAAGAGCGTTGCAGAAATGGAAATAGTTCAAAAGGGTAGGAGAGATATGGACGATCAAGAGGATAACAATACAGGGGGATGACGACTGACATCGCGGTGAGATCGGACGTGAGGAACGGGTCTCTGCGCTCCCACACTGAGTTCTCCCTATTGGAGGGCTTCGAAAGGAGCTAAAGCCACCCTGTAGGGGTGGTGAAGTAAAGAGGGGCGCCCTGCAGGTCGTGGAGAGCCACAACTATCCTGCTTGACCCAGGGCTTCTTCCGCGTCATCCATGACAAGGAGAAGAGGCAGCCATCATGGCTGCCATGAAGCTGGGACATTTTTTTCCTTTTAAAGTTAGGGTCTAAATAGAGAAGATTCCTTTTTTATTTAGACCCTAATTTTAAAAGGAAAAAAAAAATCCAAGAAAAGAGGCTCTTAGAACTATTTCTTAAAGTGGCGAATAACCATAGAGAGAAAAATCCTAGACCCAAAAAAAAAAAAGGAACTAAGGGGAGAAAAGCTAAAGACCTTTTAAAACATAAAAAATTGGACTTTTAACTGTGTAGGCGTTGTTCTGGAAAGGCATTATAAAATGCTGGAACTATCTACTTGAATAGCTGATTTTGCTCCCATTAATTGAATTAAATTTGGATTAATCAATTTGACAGACTCAAAACAACGCTGAAACTTAAACTGTGGATGCCATCTACAGGTGAATGGAACTATACCATACCTCTACAAGCCTGCAAATGTTTGATAAGAGAAATAAACAACATCCATCTGGAGGACTGTGGTGATATTCACTGTTCTATAACTATCTATTTTATGATTACTGGACAATATCATTGTCAATAAAATGGAACATTGAAATATTGAATTACTGTAAAACAAACATGTATATTAATACTAGGATTACATAAATTTGATTAATGTAACAAATATTGTTAATATTATTATCGCTACTTGTATCAAAATGAATTATACCCAGAGGCCACACTGTTCATATATTGATATTGATGTATATTTAAAAATAAAAATCCAATAAAACTTTTTTTAAAAAAGAGGATAACAATACAGGGCTTACATGTAAGGTATTCGAATGATAGCCTATCCCCTAACAGTGGTTCTCAACCTGTGGGTCACGACCCCTTTGGGGGGTCGAATGACCCTTTCATAGGGGTCGCCTAAGACCATTGGAAAACACATATTTTCAATGGTTTTAGGAATAATTTTATGGTTGGGGGTCACCACAACATGAGGAACTATATTAAAGGGTCGCGGCATTAGGAAGGTTGAGAACCACTGCCCTATTATATCCACTCAGCCCATCAGAACAGGAAGGCAGGGTATGTTACGGGTCCTAATAAGGGATTAATCTGGTGGGACCACGAAAAAGGGCTTTCTTAGTGGTTGCATCTCCTCTATGGAAAATCATTCCCCCTGCAGTATAATTTGTTGCAGGATCCAATCTGGATTGGTCACAAGGACCAGAGGTTTAGTCTTCTGAGCTTTTGGACTTGTACTAGAGCCCATTCTCAGGGAACCTCTCTCTGTGTGACATTCTGGTGTGAGAAAGAAGTTCCCTGAGGATGGGCTCCAGCACAAAGCCCAAAGCATGGAAGATTAAACTTCTGCATGACTGACCCAGATTGAATCCTGCAACATTATCCTGGGTCACGTTTATTTGCCTTCATTCATGAGTATGATTTCTCCCCACCCTATTTGATTTATCAAATTTCTAAGGTAAAAGGTAAAGGTTCCCCTCGTATATATGTGCTAATCAGTGGTGGGTTGCCCCAGGTTTGGACCGGTTCAAAAGAACCGGTAGTAAAACTGGCGGGAGGCTCCACCCACTGCCCCAGATGTCATCATAGGTGACCTGTGCATCCTGTTGTGAATCGGTAGTAAAGGTAAGTAGAACCCACCTCTGGTGCTAGTCGTTATGACTCTAGGGGGCAGTGCTCACCTCCGTTTCAAAGCTGAAGAACCAGCGCTATCTGAAGACGTCTCCGTGGTCATGTGGCCGGCATGACTAAACACCAAAGGCGCACAGAACGCTGTTACCTTCCCACCAAAGGTGGTCCCTATTTTTCTACTTGCATTTTTTACATGCTTTTGAATTGCTAGGTTGGCAGAAGCTGGGACAAGTAACGGGAACTCACTTCATTACATGGCACTAGGGATTCGAACTGCTGAACTGCTGACCTTTCGATCGACAAGCTCAGCCTCTTAGCCACTGAGCCACCACATCCCAAATTTCTAAAAGTCCACCTAAAAATATAGGGACTCTGAATGGAGATGGAGCCCATGAAATGGTTAATTTGATTGTGTTGCTGCTGCCAACAGGTGAGGTTGGGTTTTATGGTTTTTTATGCTGTGATTGTAATGTTGTAAGCCTATGCGTATGTTGAGCAACCATACAAATTTAATCAAATACAGTAAATAAATAAAATTCTGACACTAAGAGGGGACAACATAGCGATTTCTGTTGTTCTCCTTGATTCGCCTCTGGAATTGCAACTCAGTTTAGGTTAGTGGAAATGCTGCACCAGATTTGGTGGCTGTGGACATATTGCTGCCATAAGTCCTCTGTTTTGTGGCAGCCCTTCTTTGGAATTGCAAAGTGAGGTGAAAAATAGATAAGTGAATTCCACCAGTGCAAAAATTGAAAGCTCAGGTGGTTGAAAGAACTATATTTGAAACAGCTTATCGCTTTGAACTATATTCAAAACAGCTTATTAAAACAGCTTATGGACTGTAACCACCCTTTACATTTCCCATTGTGTCCCAACTCCAGTTTTGCCAGGGGCAGATGGGAAATTAAAAAGGTGGCTACATTCAATAGCAATAGCACTTATACACCACTTCACAGTGCTTTATAGCTCTCTCTAAGTGGTTTACAGAGTCAGCCTATTGCCCCCAACAATCTGGGTCCTCATTTTACCAACCTTGGAAGGCTGAGGCAACCTTAAGCTAGCCAGGATCGAATTCCTGACAGTCGGCAGAGTCAGCCTGCAATATTGCTTTCTAATCACTGAGCCACCACGGCTCATTCAGCCCCAATAAATCAGGTTAAGCAGTCATACTAATCCCCTTTGCTAAAGAAACTGAAAAGCAGCTGGAGAAAAGAATTAAAAATACATACCCTTCCCCAAACAGAAGTTTCTTTGCCAAGATTAATAAACCTGGCATTTAGGAGGCAGATGTGGCAGGCTGTTATTTCAGCTGAAAGACCCATTAGACCTAGGATAGAACTGGTCTGTAAGAATCCAGATGACCACTAGATGGCAGCGGAGATAGGAAGATATCCTTTGCTGACTCCCAGTGGCAGAATAAAATTTCTGCAGCCCAGTTTTAGCAGTCTTCTTTCTAAATATTATGTCCTCTTTTCACTGCAGCTGCGAACGATTCGTTGGACCTGGTGCACCAGTGTGCTGTGAGACTTAATTAATGTTTGAAGACCCTCAAGTTGAAAACCTGGCATGGTATAAAAGCCCAGGAAATGGTGATCATTATTGCTTCCATTTGCATCTGCAAGCTGTAATTAGCCACGGACTGTGTTGCAAGGCACCTGAATAATTCAAACATTGAGCGAAGAAGCAGCTTTTCCTTTTTAAAAAATTCATAAACTCGAGCCACAGGTATGCTAATAACTTTTTTTTTTAGGTCTCTCTTTTTAGACGATCCGTATTATCAAAAGGAAAAAAAAAAGAATCTCCGACTAAATTTCAAGATAATTGAGCTAAAAGAATCGTTTCACCCGTAGTCTGAAACTGTTGACACTAGTTGGTCTTTTGACGAGCCAGCAAACTAATTGTTTAGCACATGCTAAAATAGGGGAGAGTTATTTTGTGGGTCCCATCCAATAGGACAGTCCTGGCCAATAGAACCTCCTGTTTTAGGAGACCCACCTGACTTTCTGTGTGTCTTTAAACATGATTGGTTTTTTCTGGAGAGACCGGTCTATCGGAGCAACCTGGTCTACCCAATTATGGGACGGAGCATACTACTTCCGCTTTTGCCTTTCAGCCCCAATCCAGGAGATTACTATTAATAATTATAATTATATAATAATAATAATAATAATAATAATAATAATAATAATAATAATAATAAAAAATAGATTACTATTAATCTTCTCATCATTACTATCACCCACCTCCTCCCACTTATGACTATATGACTGTAACCTTGTTGCTGGTATCCTTAAGATTTATATTGATTGTTTCCCTATGACTATCATTAAATGTTGTACCTTATGATTCTTGATGAATGTATCTTTTCTTTTATGTACACTGAGAGTGTATGCACCAAGACAAATTCCTTGTGTGTCCAATCACACTTGCCCAATAAAGAATTCTATTCTATTCACAGGCAGTTGCTTTCGCAACAAATTATTTTTTTGTGTTAAATATATGTTGTACCGACAAAGAAATAAAGGAAGACTAGTATAGATGACACTGAACAAGGAGGCTTATGGCTGCAGTCATCACAGCGTCCCCCATATGATTGCCATTTGGGTGTTTGGCAACTGGCACACAATTACAACAGTTGTAGAATCCCACAGTCACATGAAGAGCCGTGGTGACGCAGTGGTTAGAGTACAGAACTGCAGGCTACTTTTGCTGATCGCCGGCTGCCAGCAGTTTGGCAGATCAAATCTCACCAGGCTCAAGGTTGACTCAGCTTTCCATCCTTCCGAGGTTGGTAAAATGAGGATCCAGATTGTTGGGTGCTGTGTCCCAGGCTTCACGTCGGTCCGCAGAAGCTGCTGCGCGCTGATTGATTTTTTCGTTTCTGGTGCGAGTATATAAGTAGCTGTCAAAGTGCTGACAGCCGCTGCTCTTGTTAGCCGAGCAGCCTTGCTAGTCACCAAGCTAGCGAAAGTGTTAACCGCACTTGTTAACAATAAATACTGTTAGCCTTTAAAGAACCCGTCTTGCCTCAGTCTGTTTGTCCCGACCTGGACATAACATTGGGAGCAAATAGGCTGACTCTGTAGACTGCTTAGAGAGGGCTGTAAAGCACTATGAAGCGGTATATAAGTCTAAGTGCTAGTGCTAGTGATTGCAATTTTTGACCTTCATGGCCAGTTTCCAACAAGCAAAGTTAATGGCAGCAGTAAGTCACACATTGAGCAGTAAATCACACATTTACACAATGTGCTTCATGATCACAGGTAATCCATTTAATGACCGCAGGTAGAAATCCTGTTGTCAACCAGCATGGTCATGTAATTTTTTTTTTTGCTTTACAACTCTATTGCTTAGTGATGGGGTTCCTGGTCCCAATTATGGTTGTTGACTGAGGACCCCCTGTCCAGGAAATGTAGACCATCTTTATCCAAAAAAATATCACGGTTTCATAAACATTCCAAAATGATGCTCTGTCAAGTTTCCGAAACCTGCCCTAATTAATTCATGAGCCATGATCCAAACTTCAAAGGAAATATAGTCATTTATTAGGAGCATCATTCCGGCAATACTGGGATGCAGTTAGGACTAATCCTACGTAGATTTATGTTCCCCTATGACCCTGTCTCTCCCCTCCTCTCTGGCCATGTCGCATTCTCCAATTAACCACTTTGGCTGGCTGTGAAACCTAACGCCCTCCTTCTGATTGCGGTCAGAAGAATGTATGGAATTCACTTCAGTTCTCCCTCCCTCCTGCTCATGGCAACTTGAAAGCTTTGCAAGTTGACATGCTGGGCACAAAGTGAGTTTTTGGTCCCAGGGACAGTGGCATATGTTCATACAGGAAAAAAAAAAGTCTCAAAACAGGTGGG